CTGGGCTCGGCATACAGAAGGGTCCAAGGCTTATGGGCCCCCGCCGATAGCAGTGAAGGTGAATACCTGGACACAGAATGGCTTGCGTCTCCGAAGGGATACGAGAATACAGCCCAGGCCAAAAAGCAATGGAACAAAGCTTGATGAAGACCAGGTTGTAATGGACACATTCCTGCCCCATCGCTAGATCCTCCGGGATCTTTTCGCAGACTCAACACCACGGCATGAACGGTGGCCGATGATGAGACATGACCTCTAGAGGAGAGTGGGAATGAAGGGGGCCGTGCCGTACTGAGTGGCCTGGGGATGGCGCACAAAGTCTGCCCGCAGTACATGGAGTCGTAAGTTTCACCCTGAAGACACACTAGCTTTCCAGTAGCAGTTGAGACGTAACCAGGGTTTGGTGACTGATCACTTGTTGCCTGATGACTAGCGGTGTCGCAGCCTTTCTGGTTTGTCGTACGGCGCCTCAGCTCAAGACCGAAGCGTAACCATGGTTTGAGGCACATGTCCTCAAAGTAGTTGAGCCCTGCGTCCACTTGGGAGTGTATGCTGAGTTTTTGCTTAGTTCTGTCTGTTCGGTTTGGATAGTGGCATGCATGGGCAGCTTACAGTGTCACGCCGACTTATGCACCTATGGATCCTCGCCTGGCTTGTCCGAGTTGTGAGAGTGTAAACCCTAAACCTGTGGATCCTCGCCTGGCTTGTCCGAGTTGTGAGAGTGTAAACCCTAAACCTTAAACGGTGTCTCCAAACTTGCACTTTTCGGCGACCTGCCACACTCGAACAGAAAAACATCCACGGGAATCGCAAACCAAAGACTAACTAACACAACCCTTCTTGTCGGCATGTCTGACCTGCTCGGTCTGCCCGCCGTATGATGTCCTGTTCAAAGCGATTCCTGGGTTCCAAGATTGCAGATCTATTCAGGTGTTTAAAGGCCGGAGCATGATGACCTTCACCAGAAATGCCCGAACCGAAAGCCCTCAACGCCCTTAGCCACAAACCTGAAGCAGCAAGGACAAGTTGAATTGGGAAAGTTTGACATCTCATACCATCCTGACCCCCGAACGGGGTGGCCCACCCTACACACAGGCCGTTTGCGCAAGATCAATGCATCCTGCCACTTCGCAACGATGTAATCGTACAGTCCTGAGCACGAACAACATGTAGCCCAACACATGTGTGCAAGACTAGTTGGCTAGAATCCGTGCCGGAGCTTCACAGGCCCAATTTAAATTGGAAGTTGTAAATCCAAGAAAGAGCCGGGCAGGCTTCGCCTGTATAGTGCCAATGCGCAGCGATTAAGGGATAGCGAGCTCCAGACACAGTGAGCAGTGAACGTGGACACATCGACACAGCCACAGTTCTGTGTAAATCGTGCAAGATAGCAGTGGTCTCCACCCTCCTGCTGGCCTCGTCTCCCGTGAGGACTCCGAAGATGCTGCTGGCACCAGACGGTGCGTGGGCCCCAGGGGCAGCCAGTCAGATTTACAGTGCAATCAAATTCGGGGCTTTTTTTCCAATTCCAACACATGAGTGATATGAGTCAGCGTGATAGTGAGTCTTGAGCCGTATCTTTTCATGACAAGGAGACCAGTGCCCAATATTTACGGCCCAGTAGCAGTGATCAAGCCAGATAACTGGCTGGGAGAAGAGCTCTGCGAACACCAAATTTCCTAAGCAGGAGCACAAATAAGCACCAGAAAAGCATAAAACGAGCAGCAGAAATAGCACGAGACGGGAGTTTTGAGCACCAAAAATCTGATCGGACTTGACATAAACCTGATGCCGATCTGACGTTCCAGCTCACACCAGGGATCAGTCAGCACAACAGAACCCACAAACTTAAGCACAAACAGAAGTTTAGCGCCAGGAAAGTAAACAAAAACACAAACTCCCAAACACAAGCAGCAGTTTTCGCATCAGAAAACAACAAATACAAACTTCCATCCACAAGCAAAACTCTTAGCAGCACCAGAAAAGCAAAAACAAGCCACACATCCAAACACAAGCAGAAGTTGTAGCACCGGAAAAGCAGCAAAAACACCACACACTCCCAAACACAAGCAGAGATGTTAGCACCAGAAGAGCATAACAAAAACCCAAACTCCCACTCTCTATATGTGCTGCCGTTCTCGAAGTAGCACATGATTGTCCGTGGTACCTCAGGCTGTGCCCTGCAATGCAGGCTTCGTCCTAGCTAGGTGGGGCAAAAAACCCAAGTTGCAGCACCAGGAAAACACAAAAACGCAGAAACACAAATTCCCGAATGCATGCACGAGCTACCACTTAAAAAATGGGTTTGGGGTCACTATCTATGAAGATATGATCATTTACCGCCTAGTAATCAAAGTAGCGTGCTTTTTTATCGTTACATAGTTATGGCAGAATGCACCCCCTGACCCTAGCATAGAATAGTATACATTTACAAGTCCTTATATAGTTGTAGAAATTATACCCCGAAAGCTCACTTCCCAATATCAGGGCCCGTGCGTTATGCCATCCCGCGAACCCGGGCTTGTCCGGGAAAGGAGCGAAAACTAAGCCGCAGCCCAACAGCCTTTACGGGTCAGTTTTAGGGTTTACGATTCTACGATTATACAATTCCCCATTATTCCATTCGCTTCGTCGGCACGAGCCGCTGAATCTCACAATGCTGCTGACTGCTGCAGCGGACCCGGGCCAGCCAGCCGCACATGCTTGGAATCTTGCGAAAACCCCTGTGTGGCCCTTTTTTAGTGCAACTTTCCTTACAGGAGGTGGTTTGTGTCAGTATGCGTAAGGCGCCAGAAGCGGGGAGCAAACCCAGCACCGCAGAGCCTCAGGTTTGAGATGGCTTGAGCTTGGGGAGCCATAGTTACTCGTAGTTGCAGCCAGTCAGAGGTCTATGAGAGCCTATGAGAGCTCCGATGAACGTTCGAGACCGGATAAACCTGCAGAGCCACGGAGGCATTCGTTGAGTTCGGGCCACGCCTTCTGAGCGTAGTGAGGGCTGCCGGACCCCAACAAATGAGCTGGAGTTGAAATGAGGCATCATTGAGCCGTTTTTGTATGGAGAGCACTGCGGAGCTTCGTTTGTTGTCTATAAATGAAGCATGTATCTGTCCAGCCTTTCTCAGATTCTCTGTCAAGTGGGTCTTGCATGCAGATCATGCCCACGAACTACATGTGTACGCAGATCGCCTTGCTTTTCCAGCGTGTTTGGCTCTATCGACCCTGTTCAGTGAGTCCGCCGAAGCATCCATTGAAGGACTCTGGGCCGAAGTTCTGGTATTGGGGAAGGCTTCAGCTCGGCTTCAGCTGGTAACCTCACAGCATAAAGAAACCATACACTCCACCGGGGTTCGGCCTAGGAGGGAGGAGGGCGCCTCATGACTCTGTCGTCAAAGCATGTGAGCGTGGTCATGTTGTTGGGGGGCAGGACCGCCGCAACACGATGCTGTCCACGGTTACGCGCCGTCTCTCCATGCAGGTGGCTTTGCTCATGGCTTCTCTGCAGAACCGTGAATGGCATTTGCGAAGCCTTTGGTGCTTGATCGGTTAGGTTTACAGCAAAACCGGGTAGGCACCCGAAGGGGCACATCAAAGCATAGTGATGAAAACAACACTCCACGATATTCCGCAATCGGATCTCAGGCAGTTTCCAGATAGGCTGATTCGGAACAAGCGGAGAAGTAAAGAGAAGCTAGCCGGCTGTGCCCGCCAGCAATGGTGCCGCATGCCCTTGCCACCTCACCGTCAGCGGTCAGAGTCGAAGACTGGTCTGCGGCCAGCGGCAAAGCCTCCCAGCAACTCCACCGCATTAGGATCCGGGCTGCCTTTTCTTGATGATAAGACTTATGCAGGTGCCGGTGTGGGCGTTGGCAAAAGCAGCGGTAGAAGTGGCAGCAGAGGGCGCTCGAATAGCAGAGCTGATCTGCGACCGGAGGTGCCGGATACACCTGCAGTCCCTACACCCAGCCGCCAAAGTCTTCAGAGTGAGGCAGAGATTGACGGCGAAGTTGCCCGATTGCGCGCAGAAAATGATCGCCTGCGCCAGCTGCTGGAGAAGGGTGATGGTGCTCCCTGGACCTCGGTGTTGTTCCTGGAGCTTGAACGGGAAAGCTATGAGCAGCAGCGCATCCTCTGCTTGAAGCGGGAGCTGTGCATGGCACTTCAGCGGCGACGCAGACTAGAGCAAGCTGTCCGTGCTGGGCATGCCAGCCTGGAGCGTGCACTTTATGGTGCGTTGAGTCAAGAGGGGGCATCCTTGCAGGCTCTGGAGCAAGCCTTCGTAGATGGTACGGCTGCAGCTGAGTCTGATCTTGCAGAGGAGGCCATGCTCTTAGACGCAGACGCCGCGCCCAAGCAACCTGGGCGACGTGCCCCAAGCCCAGCGCACACACCGAGCTCGGCTTCTGCAGCAGGTGCAGCAAAGGCCACGTCTTCACGCAGACTCTGGGAAGCCGCAGAGATTTACCAGCTTGAGCAAGCTGTGTTCCAGGCGGCATCTTCACTGATGGCCTTTGCGGAGGCCTCTGGGGAAGCCTGGGCCGATCAGCTGGCTGCTCGACTTCAGACATTGAGCTGGCAGCTGCTCCGAGCCCGGGAGCTCCCTGTCACGAGTGCAGACGTGGATGCATCGACTGCTGCAGTTCGCAGACGGCTTTGGAGATTCATGGCTGGCCGTTCACTGGCAAAGTGCAGAGATCAGCCATCAGAAGGTGTTCATTCTGGCCCCGAGGTGACTTGATTGCCAGCATGACCTCCCCTTCCCATCTTTCGCTTTCTGATTCTGGGCAGCCCTGCCACGTAATTACTCATGCGCCTGCCTCAGATGGTTGCTACTCCAGTTCGGCTACCACTGTGTTTGCTCCGCGCTTTGCAAGACATGGTTGAGGCCGGGAGTGTGTGGGAACGCGATGATCCAAGTCAGAATTCCAGGATCCTTCTGTTCCATAGCTATCCTTCCCGAGCTCCGAAGACCCAACATACCCTACGGCCACGCCTGAAGTCCCCATTCCACGGCCTGAAGGCCAGCTTACACACCTGCCCACACTCGAAAAAGCCATGACCCTCTTATGTCTTATGATTATGCAGGTCGCGAGCAGTGAGAAGGAGCTGCGGACAGAGGTGGAGCAAGCCGTTGCGAGCATGCTGGAGCTGGCGGAGCCTTGGCTTGCTAGTGGCACAATGAAGAAATCGAATCAGCTTTGGATGCTTATACACGATCTGCGCGATCTATGGGACCGCATCATCGTTCGCTGCACTCCGTCCCATCTTGTCGCGAAGGTGCAATGGGCAACAGCCGTTCTGTCTGCTCGTGCGGTGGCTGGTGCTGCTCATGGTGGGTCACGTGTAGCACGGGTCTCGGAGCTCGTGCTTGCAAAGGGACGCGTCAGCAAACTCAGAAGTCCCGAGCCAAACTCTGCTCGAGGCCGCAGATGCTCGCCGTGAAGCTACGAGCTCGGCAAGACAAAACAAGCATCACCTGCACCTTTGCGCAGCGCGCAGGCTTCTAGGCAATTGCTGAGTTTGAAGCCTGTGACATTGCATCCTGCTGCGAGTGGTCCATCTGCATAACTGTGGCTGCTGCCTTCTGCAGTTCATCTCAATTCTTATACAAGTGTAGCGCTCTGCACAAAGTGCTTTTACGGGGGAGGTCCCAGCTACCGGCTGCGATTCGTTTTGCCACAGGTGGCTCGCCCTGCGGCTGCGCTCGCCCCAGCCGGCCTGCGCTTCCACTGCCAGGTACCTTGGGCAGCACAGAAGTTGTTGATGCATGTGAGAGAGAGAGAGAGAGAGAGAGAGAGGGGCAGAGGGCCCCAGGCCCCCATACCCCTTGCAAACAAGCAAGAGAGAGAGAGAGAGAGAGAGAGAGTCTAGGCCAATGGCCTGAGGGTCGGGTACGCCGACCCCTAAGCCCTGCAGAAAGAAAGAAAAAAGAGAGAGAGTCTAGGGGGATTTCCCCTTGCGCCACAACCCTGGCGAAAAGGAAAAAAGAGACTCTCTCTCTCTCTCTGTCTGTCTCTCTCTCGCTCTCTCTTGCTTGCTTGCTTGCTTGCTTGCTTGCTTGCTTGCTTGCTTGCTTGCTTGCTTGCTCGCTTGCTTGGGTTGTGGGGGTACATAAGCACACGTATGGTAGACATGTACATAGTTTGTGAGTGT